ACAACAATAATAAGAACATCAACAACAATAATAAGAACATCAACAACAATAATAAGAACATCAACAACAATAATAAGAACAACAACAATAATAAGAACATCAACAATAATAAGAACATCAACAACAATAATAAGAACATCAACAACAATAATAAGAACAACAACAATAATAAGAACATCAACAACAATAATAAGAGCATCAACAACAATAATAAGAACATCAACAACAATAATAAGAACATCAACAACAATAATAAGAGCATCAACAACAATAATAAGAGCATCAACAACAATAATAAGAGCATCAACAACAATAATAAGAACATCAACAACAATAATAAGAACATCAACAACAATAATAAGAGCATCAACAACAATAATAAGAACATCAACAACAATAATAAGAACATCAACAATAATAAGAACATCAACAACAATAATAAGAACATCAACAACAATAATAAGAGCATCAACAACAATAATAAGAGCATCAACAACAATAATAAGAGCATCAACAACAATAATAAAAAACATCAACAACAATAATAAGAGCATCAACAACAATAATAAGAACATCAACAACAATAATAAGAACAACAACAATAATAAGAACATCAACAACAATAATAAGAGCATCAAACAACAATAATAAGAGCATCAACAATAATAATAAGAGCATCAACAACAATAATAAGAACAACAACAATAATAAGAACATCAACAACAATAATAAGAGCATCAACAACAATAATAAGAGCATCAACAATAATAATAAGAGCATCAACAACAATAATAAGAACAACAACAATAATAAGAACATCAACAACAATAATAAGAGCATCAACAACAATAATAACATCAACAATAAGAACAACAACAATAATAAGAGCATCAACAACAATAATAAGAACATCAACAACAATAATAAGAACAACAACAATAATAAGAACATCAACAACAATAATAAGAGCATCAACAACAATAATAAGAGCATCAACAATAATAATAAGAGCATCAACAACAATAATAAGAACATCAACAACAATAATAAGAACATCAACAACAATAATAAGAGCATCAACAACAATAATAAGAACAACAACAATAATAAGAACAACAACAATAATAAGAACATCAACAACAATAATAAGAACATCAAAACAATAATAAGAACATCAACAACAATAATAAGAACATCAACAACAATAATAAGAGCATCAACAATAATAATAAGAGCATCAACAACAATAATAAGAACATCAACAACAATAATAAGAACATCAACAACAATAATAAGAGCATCAACAACAATAATAAGAACATCAACAACAATAATAAGAGCATCAACAACAATAATAAGAACAACAACAATAATAAGAACATCAACAACAATAATAACATCAACAATAAGAACAACAACAATAATAAGAACATCAACAACAATAATAACATCAACAATAAGAACAACAACAATAATAAGAGCATCAACAACAATAATAAGAACATCAACAACAATAATAAGAACATCAACAACAATAATAAGAACAACAACAATAATAAGAACATCAACAACAATAATAAGAGCATCAACAACAATAATAAGAACATCAACAACAATAATAAGAACATCAACAACAATAATAAGAGCATCAACAACAATAATAACATCAACAATAAGAACAACAACAATAATAAGAGCATCAACAACAATAATAAGAACATCAACAACAATAATAAGAACATCAACAACACTAATAAGAACATCAACAACAATAATAAGAACATCAACAACAATAATAAGAACATCAACAATAAAAAGAGCATCAACAACAATAATAAGAACATCAACAACAATAATAAGAACATCAACAACAATAATAAGAACATCAACAACAACAATAATAACATCAACAATAATAAGAGCATCAACAACAATAATAAGAGCATCAACAACAATAATAAGAACATCAACAACAATAATAAGAGCATCAACAACAATAATAAGAGCATCAACAACAATAATAAGAGCATCAACAACAATAATAAGAACATCAACAACATTAATAAGAACATCAACAACAACAATAATAACATCAACAATAATAAGAACATCAACAACAATAATAAGAACATCAACAACAATAATAAGAACATCAACAACAATAATAAGAACATCAACAACAATAATAAGAGCATCAACAACATTAATAATAGCATCAACAACATTAATAAGAACATCAACAACAATAATAAGAACATCAACAATAATAATAACATCAACAATAATAAGAGCATCAACAACAATAATAAGAACATCAACAACAATAATAAGAGCATCAACAACAATAATAAGAGCATCAACAACAGTAACTAATATCAACAGTATGAACATCAACACCAACAGTATTAACTGAATTTACAACAGCGAAGCAGCAGTAACAGCAACACCAAAACGGTAATAACGGGAAAAAATTAAGAATAGAAACAGTAATAGTAACCAACAGAAATAACAAATGCATTAATAACAACAACAACAGTTGAATCAATAGTATAAACAGGAACAATGACGGTTTTCATATCAACACCAACAACAGTAATAATAGCAACAACAACAGTAGTACTAACGCCAACAGTAGTAACAACTACTAACACCGACAACAGTATTAATACCGCTAATAACAGTAATATAATTACCAGCAGTAATAACTTCAAGAAACAGTAAAAACATCAACAGTAATAATAACAGCATCAACAGTAACAATATCAACAGTAATAACATCAATACTAATAACAGGAACTTCAGCAGTGATAATAACAGCATCAACAGCAATAACATCAACAATAACAGTATACAGCATCAACAGTGATAATAAGAGCATCAACAATAGTAACATTAATAGTGGAAATAAATGGTATCAAATACCGACACAGTGGAAATATAAACACATATGCAGTATAATGTGATCCTTTATTGACAACGTTTCACCCACACAGTGGGCTTTTTCAAGTCACACACAGATCTACCTGGGGTGGAAGGTACGGGAGTATTTATAGTCATGTTCAGAATGTTGAGGTCAGGTGGAGAATGCTGCATCTGATGATCTACCGGGTGGAGTTATAGAGTCTTGGGTAGCTTGGCAGGGGTATTGGACAAGTTGTGAGTAGACCTTCTGCAGTGTTCTATGTTCTTATGTGGGATAGCGATGAAGAAGTTTCTTGGCGAGTGGTTCAGCTATGTTATAGAAGCCGTTGTTCTGGTTGAAATTGTTGGTTATAGAGATAAGCGATGATTCCAGGATTCTTCGGTATTGAGTGTTGTCTTCTGTGGCTATAAGTCTTGAGTTTCTGTAGTTAATTAAATGGTTGTGTGAATTGCGATGTTGTACACAGGCATTCCTTGTATCGTCAGTCCTGCTTGCATATTGGTGTTCTGAAATACGTGTTTGGAGGTCTCTTGATGTTTCGCCCACATACAATTTGTTGCAGTCATTACAAGGGATTATGTATACCCCTGCAGAGGATGGAGGTTTGTCCTGTCTACTATTGGTGATGTTCTTGATGGTCGTGGTTGTGGAGGTAG